ACTAGTATTTTTTTTCCCTCTAATCTTGGGTTACTGGAAAATTTTGCTGAACTATACACATGATGTTAAACTTTTCTTATGGTGTGGGACACCCTTTTAATATTAAACTACTCTAGTTTCTTACAGATGATTTGTATGATGTAGGGAATGGCTCTGTTGACGGTCTCTGCTTCCGTGAATGCACTGAAGGATACGGCGGCGTTTGCATTTGTAGCTCTATACTTAATTGCCCTTGGTACTGGTGGAATCAAGCCGTGTGTCTCTTCCTTTGGTGCGGATCAATTTGATGAAACTGATGAGAAAGAAAGGGTGAAAAAAAGCTCCTTCTTCAACTGGTTTTACTTCTCGATCAATGTGGGTGCCCTTATTGCTTCCTCAGTCTTGGTTTGGGTCCAAACCAATGTTGGTTGGGGATGGGGCTTTGGTATCCCAGCTGCTGCTATGGCCGTTGCTGTCGTGTCCTTTTTCTCGGGTTCCAGATTTTATCGATTTCAGAAGCCAGGAGGAAGTCCTCTAACAAGGATTGCTCAGGTTTTGATCGCAACCTTCAGAAAAATTAAGGTGAAAGTTCCCGAGGATAAATCCATCCTGTATGAGACACCTGATAACGCATCCAATATTATCGGAAGCCGAAAGCTTGAACATACAGATAAACTTAGGTATGTTTATATAGAACTATATTTGCTTAATCCTTCTGTTCCACACTTTTTGATGGGAAAACTGGTGATTCTCTATTTCTTTTTGTAGACTTGTTTATATGTTGGGTTTCTTCATGATCTCGTCTACTTTTATATTTTACATCTTACATCTCTGCTATACTATTTTGTACCGCTTCTTATGTGAAATGTTTATGTTTCCATTTCAGGTGTTTTGATAAAGCTGCCGTACCAACTGAAACTGATGACATCAAGGGAACTCCAAGCTCATGGAGACTCTGCACTGTTACCCAAGTTGAAGAACTTAAAGCCATCATCAGAATACTTCCGATTTGGGTCACGGGAATTGTTTTTTTCTGCAGTATACAGCCAAATGAGCACCATGTTTGTATTACAAGGCAATACCATGGACCAGCGCCTTGGCCCAAAACTCAAGATATCAGCAGCCTCTCTCTCAGTATTCGATACCCTGAGTGTCATCTTTTGGATCCCTGTCTATGACAAGCTCATCATCCCATTTGCTAAGAAGTTCACTGGAAATCCACGCGGTTTCACTCAGCTTCAGAGAATGGGAATTGGCCTGGTAATATCCATATTTGCTATGATTACTGCAGGAATTGTGGAGGTTGTTAGGCTGAACATTGTGAAGGAACACAACTACTACGATAGGAAAACAATTCCTATCTCTATCTTCTGGCAAATCCCACCTTATTTCCTCATTGGCTGTGCAGAAGTATTTACATTTGTAGGTCAAATAGAGTTCTTCTATGATCAGGCACCTGATGCGATGAGAAGTTTATGTTCTGCTCTGTCTCTTACAACCAATGCTTTGGGGTACTACCTAAGCTCTTTGCTCATTACGATTGTGACTCATGTGACTACGAAGCATGGGGAGTTAGGGTGGATCCCTGATAATCTCAACAGAGGTCACCTGGACTATTTCTTCTGGCTGTTGATGATCCTTAGTATTCTCAACTTCTGTGCTTATCTGTGGATTTCAAAGCAATACACATACAAGAAGGCAGCTGGGCTTGCAAAGTAATCTTCAAACAGAGTATTACTTTCTTACATACAAAGGTCCTTTAACTGCTTGTAAATAGTAAAGGCGTGGTAAACATTAAACTTTAATTTTAGTTTGAATGGTTTGATGCTTATTGATCCATATGTTCCAGAGTTATTTATTATAGTTGAATGAAAGCAAATTCTTTAAGAAAGGAATGTAGTGTGAAATTTTTAGAGAAGATCAATAAGATTAATGTAGTCTCTATCTCCTAGATTGATTATCCGTATCTCACCCTTTTACTTTACGTATCTTTTTCCTCATATCGCATCTTTTCCTCAGTTTTGGTTTGGGTCCAAACCAATCTTTTGGATCGATAAGGAGTTGCCTCTAATCGTTTTGGAGTTTACTCCAGAATGGAAAATAGTTAATGTGCGATAAAGTAAAAAATAAGGGTGTTGATATTGTCTAAGGTAAAAAAAAAAAAAAACCACTTTTAAGACAAATTATCTACCCATTGCCCGTAATTTTTGAGAATCAAAATATGTCAAACTTATTAATTTAATAAAATACTTTATAATATTTTGTTGCCTATAATATTAGTAGCTATATATTCTAATTAAAATCTTATTAATTTAACTCCAATACGGTTGATACATCTTCAAGGAGTGCTTCACGAATTTGATACTGTGTACTAAACATAACATGCACATCTTCTTCTATCACTGTATGATTATCCATAATCTGCCAAAGAAATAGGTAAATAATTAAGATGCAATATTTAAATCCCTTTGTCTACTTTAACAAGTTTTTGAAACCAATTCTTAAGAATGTCCAACAACTAGATTTTTAGAGTTTGAGAATTGAAGTATCCCACGTATACAGACATAGTGCTATTTTTTATAAATTATAAAAATAAAAATAAAAAAAGAAAAATCATTAATCTTTATTTTCTTACATCTAAAAAGTAAATATGAAATTTGTCTAATGGCAAATCATATCATATCATATAACTAATATATAAAGCTGGTCTCGCAGACAGATCACGATATAGCGACACTTTACATTCCAGTTTTTTCGCCAAGTGTCGCGCCACGTAGGCGAAAAATAGATATTATTGTGACACGTATGATACTAAGTAAGCGATTATTGGATAGATTTTATTTTAAGATAAAATTGTTGTATAGAGTTTTATTATTGATAAAATTCTAATGTTTCATATTTACAAAATTAATCATAACTTTTAATAAATATCCTATAACTATGTTCTATTTCCATCATCAAATTCGTTTTAAAAAATTCTTTAAAATAAGATCCATTTATAATATATATTTAATCACAAACTTTTATACATAACTGGCTAAACCGTGTCACCAACTATTACAAAAGTTACTTCGTTAGTGCTATAAGAGTTACTTGGTCAGGTTATAGTGGTTACTCAATTGGTGTTATAAATAGGGGTTACTTAGTCAATGTTAGAGGTTACTCAATTAGTATTACAGGGGTTACTCGGTCAGTTTTATAGCCGCATACAAAATGCGTTTTTATTTAACTTATTTAAGAAAATATTTAAAAATAAATAAAATTAAGTTTTAATTGGTAAAAAATAATTTTAATTTGGTGAAAATACTTTTAGTTCAATGAAAATAATTTAAGTTCAATAAATATAATTTCAAGTTAATAATAACATAAAAGTACACTATTATATAAATGTAAGCCATATGATATGGTATGTTTAAATATTCTACATTATCAAAACGAATTATTTGACCGTATTTAACCTAAAAATATTATCTTAAAATTTTATCAACATGGCCATCGCCCGGGCACAAAACTATCATATTATATCACTAATAAATAAAGCTGGTCTCGAAACCAGCCCACGAGACAGCGACACTTGGCATTCCAGTTTTTTTGCCAAGTGTTGAGCCACGTAGGCGACAAATAGTTATTAATTATGATTAGATTAGATTTCACGTTAGATTAGATTGGATAGATAGATATGTTTAGGATAAAAAAAAAAAAAAAAGTATACATTAAATAATTTATAATTCTTTTGAAAAAAAATTTATCTTTTTATTGACAATAGAATTTTACTTATAACAACACACCACATATTATAATTAATATGAATATCCAATTAACAATAGAATTTTACTCCTATACAAATAACCACGTAATTATAAATATAATTATAAATATGGTCATGTATCACTATTTTTTTTTTTTAGTGTACCATTGATTTACCATTAAAGCTTTTGAATCAGGTATTTTTCATATTTGGTTGTAATATTTTTGTATATGTTTGTGATTTTATTGATGAAATTAAGGAAGTAAAAAACTACTAAAATTAGGACACAACAGAAACTATACTATACAAGGGAATCTTGAAGTGAATTCAGATCAATGTTAGCAAAGTCTTAGAACTTTACAGATTTTACAAAGCCTCCGTAACCCATTTACTGGCCATATATTACAAATGGTCCAATTAGGCCAATAATATAATCTGTTGATTTTACGTGTAGGAAAAATAATTACTTTTAACTTCTTATTTATTTTATTATTTTTTTACCGACACACTCTTCTTTTCACAAAATTATACTCCCTGTATTATTTTAGTGTCCCGTTGAAATTTAGCACATATGTCGACATATAACTTTGATAAACAATATCTTAATTATATATATTTTTTCATGTATAATTCACAAACATTGGTCAAAGTAGACCAAGTGAATGTAGTGCAACTTACAAAAATAGAAAATAATAATAAACGCTCAAAAAGAATAATAGGTAGTGTTTCAACTCACTTTTTTCCATCTAAATTTGAAATAAAATATAAAAACTAATAATTATTATTATTATTGTTATTATTATAATTATAATTATAATTATGATACAAACTACAAAGCATGCCTACGATTAAGTATACTGTTTAAAATGGGTATCCGGGGCACGTACTAGTTTAATAATAAAGGTAGAACATCAATACGTTTTAAGTTGACATGAAAATACCTTTACTAATAGTCAATTATAAACAAATTAAGGGCTTGATAAATAAATGAAATTAATTAATAAACAAATTTAGAGGTAGCTAATACCTGATTGTAAGAGGATTATAAGGATGAGTCTATGATGGTGAATAATTTAATTAATTGCATATTTTGACATAAATAATTAGTAGTTGGAGTTGAAAAGATTTTAATTGGAATATTTAGCTATTAATATTATAGGCAACAAAATATGACAAGGTATTTTATTGAATTAACAAGTTTAATATATTTGGATACTCAATGATTACGGGCAAAGGGTAGATAATTTGCTTTGGCAATATCAGCGCTCAAAAATAATTCTGAAGGGGATTATTTCTTTCTATGTTAATTAGTAAACTGAAATGTACAAGAATTACAACCAAAATACTCCGTAACAAGGAATGCTGCGAGGGTAAACTAATAGGCTTCCAGCTTTCGTGGATATTTTCTATGTTATTGCTTACAGCACTGTCAAAAATACATACTTCGTATATACTATTATCAGATTCTCCTATATTACAAAAAACCCAAGGCTAAGAGAGTGCTTGGATGGCAAACTGTAAATATAACAAGCCACCCACAAACCATAGAGGAGCTCTAAGAACTAACAAGACATCCTACTATACAGTTATGCACAAGATATTAGAACCGCTCCCTAGCTGCCTAAATTCATCACCAATGATAAATTGGATTTTCTACCTGTGGAGGCAACAGATTCAGATCCTTGCTGTGCTGCTTGTCATAATTCCGAGAGCCAGGTATTGCTCCTGTTGCAAGCCTTAAGAGTTCGCTCCCAGTGAAACAATAGTGAGCCAATGCCAGCCCTCCATCAACCATATCAGACAAATTGGGCATTGAAACTGATTTTGACATGAAGTTTTTATTGGACTTGATGCTGCTTTGATCCATTCCTAGGACTTTTTCAAGATCAGAATGTTCCATAAATCTTTCAGTGGCGGCTTCCCATGAAAGTTTGTATCTTTGTTCTGGGGTAAGTGGCTCAGGCTCCTTGACCAATGCTTCCTTCACCTTGGTAACAAAGTCTTCAGATGTCTGATATGTCAAACAGTTTGGGAATGACCTGAAAAACTCATTTGATGGATGGTCTGCACAAACTACAATCTTTCCCATTGCAAGTGCTTCAGCAGTAGCGGTGCAAAGGACATCACTGACACTAGGGTTTATGAAAACTTTGTATCTGCAAGCATAAATATAAAGTTATGGTTTGAATGTGGGCGTAATCTATGCAAGCATTAAAAAGATGTACTTCGAATTTTCAAGGAGAAAAAAAGACATAAAACAAAAGGTCCACACCTGTGCAGGGAATCATCAGCATGGTCTCTTCCCTTTTGGAAGTTGAGGCTCAGATTCAATTTTTTTGCAGTATTCTGGACCTCATGTGCATCCTCACCATTACCAAAAACATCCAAATTCAGGCTGCCAAGCTCATTTTTGTGCTTTGAAAATAGATCTATTAGTTCTCGGTATCCCTTTGCCCAAACCATCTTGCCCAAAAAATATGCTCCCTTGGGAAAGGCTTGCTGACCAGCGGCTCTTTCAGAAGCCAACTTCTCTCCAATTTCCAGAAACTTTGGATTAACACCATGGACATTACATATAATAGACTTGGGCAGATCCTGGGTGGCAGCAGAAAGCCGAAGAACCTGAGGCACAGAAAGTAACTATTAGTGTCCCAATAAAACCAGAACAACACTTTTTTATAAATCTTTAATAAAACAGCTAAACAGCAAAAAAAAAAAAAAAAAAAAAAAAAAAAAAAAAAAAAAAAAAGCTGGTGAGCACAGCTCACACCTAGATCAAACCCAAAATTTCTAGATAACAGAAAATCTGTATCTTACCTTGTGACAATGCGCTCTTGCCACAATATTATTAATATGCTTCACAAAGAAAGCTTGTATAGCACCATTCTTCTCTCTCTTTATATATTCCAGATAATTGGTGTGCACGACACCAACGACATGATTGAATTTATCAGTCCACCGGTTACCATGATGATACCAGTTCAAATGCTCTGGTTCTTCAAGGATAGCAATGTCAGCTTCCTTTGAAGATATGAACTGAGAAGTATCGCCAGCTGGAAGTATGCTCCGCCTTTCTTTGGAAAACTGCAAATATACCAGAACGTCAAATCATAGTATAGATTGCTACTGTGAAATCCACAATGTAGCAGTGACACGAGTCGTATAATCATACCTTTCCAGGGTAAAATGATATTTTGAAATCAGCCTTGAAACCAATCCTTTCCTCCAGCCAATTTCGTATATAATCCTCCTGTTCTTCTGGTGAATTGAATGTAAGCTTGTTTGGGTAAACTAGCTCTTGGTCAGACTTGCAAAGCCATGGAACCAAAAGAGTAACCTTCTGCTTTGCAGATTTAGCTAAATAAGCAGCACGAAACAACGGATTTACTGCTGTTCCCGTCATCCAAGGAAGGCTAGCAGTGGTAACAATAGCAACATGTCTTTTCTTTTCAGATGGATTCTGCTTCATTAAGTCTGACCAAAATCCACCTTCATAGTGATGACCAGTACTCTGAAGGACACTGGCTATCCTTAAATCAAGTTCATCATTGATGTTATCACCCTCAACCATAGAAGATTCTCCACCTGAAACGGGGTGCAAAAGAAGCTGATTCTTACGTTTACTACACAAATTCTCCACTATCTTGTCACATAAATCTGCATGTAAAAAATTTAGAGGAAGCATGAGCATTTTATTCTGATGTTGTCCAACCATGTTAAATAAAAAGGCAGGAGCTGACATATTTTAGAAGATCAACAAAATGTAGGCTTAGAAACAATTACAGCACACTTTCAAGTTAGATATTATTCCATATCCCAATATGCCATATTGAAGTCTCATATACCTCACAAGGCTCACACTTGCAGATGAGATGCACAATGGAAATTTTCCATCAACTACCCAAGCTCCAATGTCTAACCTTGTATTTTCAGTATGTGATTTTTACAGCTTAAAATGTTATCCTATCAACTACCAAGCAAACTTGCATTTTCAGCATAAGATATTACTCAAATATCATCACTTCTTTGAAACAATGTTAGTCACTACCTACAAATGATGGGTTCCATTTTAGGTGTTGATTTACACATTTGGTTGGCATATGTGTTGACTTAGATGATTTTCCATTAAAAACCCAACATCTAAGGGCCTGTTTGTTATTGTTTTTGTTTCCAGTTTTTTGTTTATTTGAAAACAAAAAAGAACGAAAACAGGAAACTAGAAAAAGTAGTTTTCACTTTTCTGTTGTCAATCTTCTTCTTAATCATGAATTCAATAAGTCAGACTAATTTTTAATTCTTTATATGACATATATCATATGACTTGAAAAAACCAAAAACCAAAAAACTGAAAACTACAGTAAACAACGAACGGGCCCTAAGCTGCGAAAAATTGAGCATGATATCACCAACCCAGACAGCCCCTTGTAGACATCATTTGAAGCTAAACGAAGGCAGACAGAGAAGAAGTGGCATTGACCTATAACGACACTATGCACAATCTTTGTGAAAGATACTATACAACAAATCAAGATCCATTAAGAAGCTTATCACAGATTATCGAACAGATACTAAATGACACTCATCTACAGAAAATACGATAACCATGATGATGTCTGACAGGCATACCATAACCATTATTTTTTATTTATTAAGAAGGCCCATACATTACGAAATATATAAGAGATTAAGAAAGAGCATATACCTTTTCTAACGCCAAGTTGATCCAAAAAGGGTTCAGACTGCCTAACAAAATATGCCAGGAGTTCAGGTACATCCAACGGTGGTACTTCCTGCAACAATCAGACACAAACATGAGTCTATGAGACAAATGGAGCTGTCACACATCGAATTCACAACATGCCTTTATAAGCACTGACACAGTGATATGTACCACAACTTTGCTGGAAATACAAGTTTTCCAATTTTTTTATGAATAGAAGGTGCATTTAGAATTAGTAGAAAATAAATTATTACTACTGCTGCTATTTGCACAGTATAGCTTGTAATTTATTTTTTAATTTTTATTCTAATCAACATGTACTTTCAAACAAGAGGTAAAATGCTGGCTGACAATTTAATTAAAAAAAAAAAAAAAACATTTCAGCATTCATAGGATTTGCACAGGATATCAGACAAATAATTCTAGATACCAACCTTTGAATCCAGGGAATCCCACCGAAATGCTTTCTGCATAATAAACATAGAAAAATTAATCATCTAACAAACAACACATATATATTCATGGTGAAAATGGTAAGACAAGGTTATTATTGTCAACAAAGATAATAGTCATACAATCTAATTTGTCCTTCCGCCTTCAACAGTTGACAAGTTTTTAATCTTTGAAATTATTCCAAAGCAAGTTAAGAAGAAAATATTGTCCTATCAGCTAATATTTCCTTCAACTTAGATCTCTATCTCCATAATATAATTACTGATTGATTCTTCATCCCTTCTCTACCCCCTCCAACTAAGAGAGGAATTAAGAAAAATATACAATCTGCATAGGAAGATTAATGAAGGTTGAATAGATAATTCACTTAGTTGGCTAAGAAAACCAAGTAGGAGCTCAACAGTTTCCCCAAACTCATCACTGGTTGGGCAAGTAACCATTTTCTTGCTAGATTTAATGCCTAAAATTGGGGCTACTCTCTTGGAGTATCTCCCACCCTTCCCCTCACTCAGTATCATATGCAAAATCAAAAAAACATATTTAGGGTTCGTTTGCCATTGTTGTGGTTTTCTGTCTTTTGGTTTTTTGTTTAACATAATCATATGATACGTCATATAATGAATTAGTCAAACTTATTAAATTGACGACAAAAAAGTGAAAACACCTTTTTCTTATTTCCTGTTTTTGGTTTTTTTTTTTTAAAAAAAAACACAAAACCCAAAACAAAAAACAATGCCAAACAAGCCCTAAATAATTGGCTTAATATCAATTTCTAGCTCTGCTCCAAAATGACCTTGCTTCAGTGAGTTCTGACAAATTTTAAGTGATGAATATGACATACAATAGCTTTGGGAATTTGTATCCACTACTACCCTCAATGATGTCTTTCAACAACAGGCAAGCAATACATTGGAAGAACAACAGAATCTACATCCTATAATGAGGCAACTGCATACGACTAGAATTTACTGGGTTTTTTTTTTTTTTTTTGAAAAGGTGGGTGTTATAGAATAATAAAAAGTGAGTAGCTTGCTATTGTAGAGACTCTAGAGAGAGAAGTTGATCCCAAAAACATATGACTCAAAATACCTTGAGTTTATAAATGTGGGTAAAATCCTAACTGAAACTCAAGGAAATCCAGGGCCAAACTAGCAATAATTATATCTATGAGGATATCACACTGAACCAAACACTTAACAAAACACCCAATTAAACAGGGCAATCCAGGGCCAGATTATTAATGACTACCTATGAGGGTATGACGTATGACACGCTGCCAAAAGACTAAATTCACTAAGCCACCATTGTGACACCTAAGGCATGACTTACTCTTTTCTTTTGCTGCTCGAGCTTAATATTTATGTTTACTAGTACTAAAAGCCAAAGAAGAATGGCATTTTTAGCCTAAGCAGAAAACATGAACAAGTGAACCATCAAAGATGAAAAGTAAGAGCAAGGACTGAAATCATGATTTCCTTTCCCAATTATAATGCTTACTATACTTCTTACTAGTATAATATACTACGTACCACAAAGACCCTATTTTCTCAAACCCATATAAAGATTTTATCATTTTACAACTAGATACCAAAATCGCGCAATATGTTGCATTTTAGCTACAAGCCTACAACTACAAATCCCAGCCATCAATATTCAGCTATAAAATCTTGCAAACTCGACTCCCAAACAATACCAAAATCAAGCCCAAAATGTTACATCACCATACATTCATATAATAACAGTTAATCAAAAAAAACACCACAAAAGCTATGAAACTAAATTCGGAATATTAAATTAAAGATAGATATGAACAAGAAATATACCAAACTAGCTTTGAATTTCTCAACCAGCTCACTGTTCTTCCAGGCGCCAAAAATCTCATCAGGCGATTTCTTCACCTCAAAATCTTTCAATTTAGTCTTTAAAGCTCGAATCGGCTCCCAATCCTTAAACCCTTCTTCCCCTTCTTCTCCTTCCCCCTTCCAATCCCACCTAAAATCAGTAAACCTAACATTCCCTCTCCTACTCTGTCTCAATCTCTCACCTCCATCAACCTCCACTTCCTCCAACATTGCATTCTTTATCGCCGACAAATCGATACGAATCCTCGGTGTCGTAGGCCGACTCCACTTCTCCAACACTTTCCGGCTAAAATCCGGCGACGAGTAAACCCTCCGAAACTCCGACAACTTCGGCTGCAACTTCTTCACAAAATCAATCTCAGTCGAAGAATTACTCGCCGAATACGACTTAATCGCCGGAACCGAAAAGGCCGAAGCAGAATTGATGAAATTCTCCAGCTCCCTATCTAACGAAGATGCCAAATTCTTGAAGGAATTCGCCCTATCTCTCATCAATCGAATATCGGCATCGGCGGAATCTCGCACTTCCCTCCACCCCTTGGAAATGAAGGATAATGCGCTCGCCGGTGAACCTCCGGCAGCCGTAGCCGGTGAAGTTCGCGACGTCGACGCCGATGTTACAGCTTGTGGGATGAAATTGTTCATGGTGATGAATTTATGCCCTAAGAATTTCCCTAACAAGAGAAATCTAGGGTTTATGGTTGGGTTTGAGCAGAAGAAGAAATTGGGAATTTTGGTAGTGAAGCAGAGGAGAGAGAAAATGGAGGATTTGAGAAGATTGATTGATGGAGGAGAGAGAAGAAGAGAAGAGATTGGCGGAAATTTTAACGGATTTTTGTATGTCGACAACAAGAAGTTGAGGCGTCCAAAAATGGAGGAAATTATAGTTGTGTATTGGTGACCACATTTCACTTGTGACTTGTTTTGTTATTGTTGCCCTTATACGAATGGCTTCTCTAATCTCTAGAGTCCTCTTTTAGACATATGCTTGGTATATGCTATTGTTACTACCAATAGTCCATCTCGACCATCGACATGGTTATATGATGTTAAGTAGTGTTGGACTATTCGGATAATTTATTGAGACTAACTCTCTTGGACTCAACATGTCTATTTGAAAGTAAAACAAATGACAAATTAGGTTGTAGCGTTGGCTAACAAGAGCTAAGAAGACATTTGTCTAGTTAGTCGTTTTAAAAAAAAATTGATGCACGTCCATGCAAAAGTTTGATGCAAGGTTGCCTATGCTTATGTAAAACAATAAGAAAATAAATATAGTTTTAAATTATTATTTTTTTTTTGCCGAATAAGTAAATCTTTTAGCATGTTGTTTTAATTTATTTTACTCGTAGGAAATAAGATGAACATGTTAAAATATGTCTTGAGTCTGTTAACCCCCTTTGAACGAATCTCACAGGGGTGTTTGTTACGTGGGCTACAATTTTCTATTTTTAGGCCTATATTCGACTTATTTCATTTTATGCTCTAGGAGTACTTAAAAAAAACTCTATTATGATTTAACCTTTATCTTTCTTGCATCTGTTATAACAATATGTAAAGGTTGTATATAAAATGACTAGATCAATATCAGATCCATGACCATTGTATGGTGTAGACACGTGAGAGCTGAATAGGATATACCTTAGCATGATGACGTGGGAAGATCTAGTGACATGGAAGGACGTGATTGGGTGGAAGGGATTTGGGGTGGAGTGGGGTGGGGTGGGGAGAGAGGATATAATATTGTGGAAAGTAGAATATGGTGGATGTAGAAATTTAGAGAATGCTCAAAAATAATGTGCTGTTTGTCACAATTGACAATGTGGGGTACCCACTAAACTCCTAAATTTAGACAGTTATTAGTTGGTAAATCAAGCACGTGGACTACTCGATGATTAAATTTGTGAGGCTTACGAAATTTGTTTAAGGAAAAATTGTCTAAAATAATCTCAACTTTGTCTCATTCGTCGAAAATAATCCAACTTTAAATTATTTTTAAATAATCCGAACTTTAATTTGAATTTGCTTTTAATGGTCTCATTTAACCAGTGACTGGGGCTATACAGGTTTTATTATTATTATTATTATTATTATTATTAATTAATTAATCAAAAAGCCATCTTCCCCACCAGCCAGCCACCCCTCCCCTCTCCCCCAAACCACCTTCTCCTTCCCAAATTTCCCCCCTCAAATTAGTACCGAAGATGAAGACCATAATTTCCCTGAAACTATAACCGAGAAGATTTTGCCGGAGACAGAAGATTGCCTGCGTTGCAGGAAGTCGGGGCAGCAAGAAAGAAGTTTCCGGCGTATTTCCTACAATTCAGTTACCTCCTTTTCGCCAATTGATGAGCTTTTGGGCATCTTCTAAATCGTGAGAAACAGCGAATGCAATAGAAGGAGAGCGAGGGTAGCTTTTTCGAGACCATAGGAACCTATTTCACGATCTTAGGAAGGTAGAACTATTGAACTAATATGCGGATTGAAGGGAAATAATCGCTGGGTTTGTAGTAAATTTTTCGGGAAGGAGAAGTTGGGGTGATGGGGAAAGGGAGGGGCGACCGCAAGGGAGGGGGAGAGGGTGGCGCCGGCAGGAGGGGTAGGGGGCTGGTTAGTTGCAGCTGGGAGAAGGGCGCGGTGATTTTTTTGTTAAAAAAATATTTAGTCTAGTGTTAAGCTAAAATCTTTTCTTAAAATTATTGTTTTTTAACCAATTAGAAAGCAGCACGTGGATAAAAAAACCGGTTGTTGTAGGTTGGTAACCTGCTGGGACCATTAAAAGCAAATTCAAGTTAAAGTTCGGATTATTAAAAAATAATTCAAAATTGGGATTATTTTCAGCGAATGAGGAAAAGTTGGGATTATTTTAGACAATTTTTCCTTTGTTTAATGAATACTTTTTCGTTTCGAAAATTCGACTTATTGTAAACTACAGTATTGTTCTATATGCATAGTTAAAATAAAGGCTAAATTAGAAAATAACACCCAATAAAAACCCCGATTTTGATAATAATACCACTTAAAAAAAAGTTTTATTATAACACCACCAAAAATCCCAAAATTTTGGTTTCACCACCCACTAACGAATTTTTGGATATAAACCGTTAGTGGGGCCACTAAGGACACGTGTCAATAAGGTATTGGTTTTAAAAAAAAAAAAAAACCCCTAAACTCTAACCCAGCCACCAGCCCCACCACCGGCGGTCGTGACTCCACCGCCGGAGACCCCCACTACCACCGGAACCCCTTCCTTCACCGGCGAAATCACCGGCCATCACCCCCACCGACATCAGCCCCCCGCAGATCCCACCAATCAGTGGAAACCACCACCACAAACTGGTGAAAACAACCAATTCCGTTCGCCTCCACCGCGAAATCGGTAGATTTCGGGTTTCTAAGGTCGATTTCGGCCGGTTTGAAGGTGAGGGGTAATTTCAGGGGTGGTTTTCGGCGAGGGGGCGACGGGCTAGGTAGTTTTCGCGGGGGGCTATGGTGGGTAGGGGTGATTTTTCGGGGATAGGGAAGGGGGAAGGGGATTTGCGGGGGGGCTAATGTCGATGGGGGTGATGGCCGGTGATTCCGCCGGTGAAGGAAGGGTTTCCGGCGGCAGTGGGGTTCTTCGGTGGTGGAGTCATGGCCGCCGGTGGTGGGGCTGGTGGCTGGGTTAGGGTTTAGGGGTTTTTCTTCTTTTTTTTTTAATTTTCTTTTTTTTTTAAACCAATACCTTATTGACAAGTGTCCTTAGTGGGCCTCACTAACGGTTTCCATCCAAAAATCCGTTAGTGGGTGGTGAAACAAAATTTTTGGGATTTTTGGTGGTGTTATAATAAAACTTTTTTTTTTAGTGGTGTTATTATCAAAATCGGGGTTTTTATTGGGTGTTATTTTCTAATTTAGCCTAAAATAAATGGGGGTAAGAAGAAAAATTGTAAATGAAGTACCAACAATGGGTAGAAAGGTGGGTGGGTACAAGGAAAAAAGTAAATTAAATACAACTGCAAAAAAAAAAAAAAAAAAAAAAAAAAAGAGCGATTTCCCTCAATAATGTTGAAATAAAAACAAATTCCCATTATGCACCTATTTAAAAACAAATTTCCAAAGTATCGTCCATAAAAAATTTGTATTTGGTTTGGCTTAAAACCGCTATTGTTGTTAGCAGTTTTAACATAAAACCGCTAACAACATTAGCGGTTTTGTATTTTTTTTTAAAAAAAAAAAAGGGCAAAGAGACCCATTATTACTGAAATCAGGTCTCTTTGAAATTAGCAATACTAATTTGGGCGCTCTCTTTCCTACTTTTGGCTAAGGCATATGTGAAAGAGACCTGTTAATAGAAAAAGGCGGTCTCTTTTTGAATTTGCTAATAACAGTAGTGGTTTTAAAGCTATTGCCGTTAACGGTTTTAAGCTGAACCAAATAAAAAAAAATTGACACCCAACATCAATCCTACGTGGACGGTATTTGGGGAATTTGTTTCTAAATCGACACATAAAGGGAATTTATTTTTATTTTAGCAATATTGTGGGAAATTGCTCGTAAATAGCATGGGGAGGAGAGGAAAGATAATACTGTAAAAAAAAGTATTCCAAAAACACAGGAATAATAGAAGTGAATCGAATTTCTTAGAACGTTTCAAAATAAAATAAAAAACGAGTGGAATTTTCAAAAATATATGAAGTACTTGTGACATGTTTTGTCCTCTAAAAACCAAAATTATTAAAGTTTTGTTCGCTTGAAACTAACCTTTCTTGAACATCGTGTAATTTTTAACAATTATGCAGATTAATACTCCCTTCGTTCCATAATACTTGACACAGTAACCATTTTCGTCCATTTCAAAATATTTGACACGTTACTAAATATGGAATGAGACCATTAATGAAAAACATTTTCCTACTCTCTTTGGGACCACAAACCCCAAAACCTAATTAAATCCTACATTTTCTCTCTTCTCACTACTCCCACTTGCCCCACTTTTGTTTTCTTACAATATAAAAATACAAAAGGGAATCTTTTATATGATAAACAAATGTTTTAAATAGACCCAATTATAGTTTTCTTAAATTACGTGTCCATCTCAATGTCTCAAGTTTTATGGGACGGAGGGAGTAATACTTATGCGAAAGTAGCACGACGAAGTAAAAGAGAGTGGTTTTTTTTTTTTTTTTTTGTGTTAATTGGAATGTATGCTAGACCTGTCAATCGGTCATTTGATCATTCGGGTTCGGTCAGGTTATTTTGGTAAGGTTGACTCGAGTCCACTATGCCTTCGAGTTAGGTCGGCACAATTCGGGTTTTGAGTATGTTAGGGTCAATTTAAATTTGACTCTGGTTGGATTTTAGATTGAGACTTCAGGTCCAATTTGAATCATGTCACCTTGAGTCGGATTATTTTGGATTGGGTCAAGACTTTGGGCCAAGTTCAAATCGGATCATATCGAATCGGGTGGAGTTTTTGGCTAAGATTTTGGATGAAGTTCAAATCGGGTCATTTCGAGTCGAATTAGCCTTAAACATTCAGGTATTTAGGATTTAAAATTAATTAATTGAGTCATTTCAAGCTTAAACTTGATCAATGAACTTAAGATCAATGAAAAGGAATTTTCAAAATATGTAATTTTACACTTTCATATTACTAGTAAAAAAATTTAAAAATCGAGCCAATACAATTCGAGTTGTTTTTATTCAAATTTTTTCAGATCAATCAATTCGTGTTAACACCAATTCAGGTCATTTTGAGAATTGGGTAATTCTAGTTTTAGTCACTATGGGTATCGATCAATGTCCGTTCGGTATCACTTTGAGTATCGGGAATGTTCGGGTCAATTACTTCATCTGTTTCATTTTGATTGTGTTTATGGAATCCAACACTTAAAAAGATATATATATATATATATATATATATATATATATATATATATATATAATATATATATATATATATA